CTGCCAGAGGAAGTGGAGGAGTCTGGTACAATTACAACATTTAAAAGGCATCTGCTTGGGTATATGAATAGGAAGGGTTTAAGAGGGATTTGGGCCAAACACTGGCAAATGGGACTGGGTTAGATTGGGATGTCTGGTTGGCACAGACAAGTTGGGCCAAAAGGGTCTGTTTCTGTGCTGTATGATGCCACAGTAATAAAAATTAAAATCAACCTCTAACTTTAAATATACTCAGCTTCCACAACCCTTTGGGGTAGAGGATTCTAAAGATTCACAATCCTCCAAGTAAAAGAAATTCTCCTCTGTCCTAAATGGCAATCCCCTCATTTATAAAATGGTGCCTCCTAGTTTTACACTCCCCAACAAATGGGGAAAATATTTCCTGAATGTATCCTGTCTATCCCTTTAATTATTTTGTAGGTTTCACAGAGACCATCTCTCATTTTTTGAAACTCTAGAGAATATAGGCCCAATTTGGCCAATCTTACTTTGTAGGACAGTCTCATCATCCCAGGAACAAGGCGGGCGAACTTTCACTGCACTCTCTCTATGACAATGCCTTTCCTGAGATGAGGAGACCAAAACTGCACATAGTTCTCAAGGTGTGTGATCTAACCAAGATCTTGTACAACTGAAGCAAGACCGCATGACTCCTGTACTCAAATCTGCTTGCAATAAAAGGCGAACATTCTATTAGTCTTCCTAATAGCTTGTTCGACATGTACATAAACATCAGTGACTTATTGAGAAGGGCACTCAAGTCCCTTCGCATATTTACACAATCCAACCTCTCAGCATTAAGGAAATATTCTGCACATCTGCTCTTCCTACCAAAGTGGATAACCTCACATTTTTCCACATTATATTCCATGTGCCAGGTTCTTGGCCACTCACTAAACTTGTCCAAATCTTCCTGAAAACATTTTACTTTTGTATCTGGTAATTTCTAAATATTACATTTGGTCACCACTTCCAAATTGTTGATATATACTTGTGAATAGTTGGGCCCCAAGTACTCATCCTTCAAACACTCCATTAGTGATGTCTACCGAGAATCACCCAGTTATTCATATTTTCTGTCTGTTAACCAATCCTTAAACTATGCCAGTATATTACCTCCTAATTTTTGCTATCCAACCTCCTGTGGGGGACCTTACTAAAAGCTTCTGAAAATCCAAAATATATATCCATCAACTTTGTTGGTAACATCTTCAAAACTCTTCCAAGTTTGTCAAATGCTATTTTTCATGCGCAAATCCACGCTGACTAAATGGTGAGATTGCAAAGCTTAGACACGCAGAGGAATGTGAGCATTTTAGTGATGAATTGCAAAAGGCTACCATGTAGGTACAGCAAGTAACTAGGAAAGTTAACAAATGATAACATTATGGGGGAAAGGGAATACAAAATTAGAAGGTTCTCCTTCAGCTACACAGGGCATTAGTGAAACCATATCCAGAGCAACGTGTACAGTACTGATCTAATTTAAAGTAGCATGGAAATGTGAAATGAGAAGATTTACTAGACTAACTACCTGAAAAGAGTGGGTTATCCTTTGGAGGAAAGGTTGAACAGACTGGGCTTTGTAACGATTGAAAGATAAAATCCAGTGGAGTCTAGAAAGATTCTTGTTAACCAAGGGGATGAAAGGTTATCAAGGGGTAGTAATCAGTCAGTAATTATCTCATTGAATAGAACAGGCTTAAGGAGCACATTCCTGCTCCTAACGTATATGTTCGTATGAAAGATAGTTACCTCCGGCAGCACAGCACTCCCTCACAATGCCAGTGTTCAAGTATCTAGAATGATCAGTGACTTCGTAACTTTCCAAATCAGCCACAAATAGGCTACTCACCAAGCCACAGCAAAAGATTGGGTGGGGGGTGGGAGCAAATTCCACATTTCCATCATGACCTTATGAAACAGTTCAATAGTGGCGATGTACAGCTAGACTACAGGACTGTAAATTGCTTTGGGATCCAAGTACTTTCTCTTGGATGTATAAAGAAAAAGGGCAGCTATTTTGTGTACCTCTAAATGATAACCACCACCAGCTCTCACGTTTGTAGTGATATCGGTTGACACAGTTACCATCCATGACACTGGAGGGATAGGAGAAACAGAACCAACATGCACATGACCTAGGAGAAAGAGGTTAGTCAACTCTGAAACCAAAGTTTGATTTGCATGCTAAATTTGGCCATTCCTAGTGCATGATTGCTATTGGCTGCTGACATCATAAGTCGTACATTGTTGCCAGATATTATGATAAATAGGTTCAAATAGTGTTTGCTGGCACATGGCTTGATTATATATGAAAAAAACTCAACATATCCACATTTCTGGATAGAAGTGTATGATAGGAAATGAAAAAAAAAATCTTTAAAAGCCTGATACAAATTTGCACAACTGAAATCTAAACAGCTTTTCCAATTGTTGGCCTGAGATATCAGGCAGAAACCATTAGAAAGGATGGAATACAATCAGAATCCAGATTAAAACCAGTTTGAAACTGCTGAATAAGCAGCAGCTGATGCGTGGGTGTATGATATAGGCTGCAACTGAGAACATGTAGATTAGCTGAAGGAAGAACCACAAGAAAATTCTTAAAATGAATCTCAAGTTACCAACCTTGAGCGCCCAAGCATTTATTCTTATATGATGAACACAGGTACGTTTTCTCATTGCCAGCTTACCTTGCAGAAGAAACCGTCATACAGACCAGAATGTCCCAGGTTCATTCCTTGGTCTATCATTAGCTGATCTCAGTCAGTACGGACACTACAATAAAAGCAGTAACCCATGGATTTTGTAGTGGTGTTTCTGTTCTGCATAATGCTTGTGGATGGCAAGTTGCAGATGTGTTCATGCACTAGCACACCCAACGTATGGTCTCCCAGGCAAGCTCCTGAAGAATGAGTATCTTGCATCTGATTGTGCCTTGGGATCTGCAATGATTTTCTGGATTAAATGCAGGGGTTTTTTGGGGTCTGGGGAGTCACAGTTGGTACTTTGTTTACCATTTTCCATCTCCTCAAAGAAAATGTATCAGAGAGTGCTTCCAGAATCTTGGCACAATCAGGCAGTTAGAGGCTCTTACAAACGTACAGGTATAGTTTTCGATTGAAAAAAAAGTCACATGGCTTCCTTCATCTGCAGTAATTGTTCCAGTCACTGGGTGAAAATCTTGTCACTCCCTCCCTAACAGCAGTGTGGTTGTACTTACACTACAAGGAATGCAGCAGTTCAAGGCAGCGGCTCACTACCACCTTCTCAAGGCCAATTAGAGATACCAATAAACGCTGGCCTTGGCAGTGCTGCACACATTCTCTGAAAGATGGGCTAGTTGTCAGTCACACAAATGAGCTTGTCATAAAAGATGTGATAAAGCTATAGCATGATACAAATTTGCACAACTGAAATCTAAACAGCTTTTCCAATTGTTGGCCTGAGATATCAAGCAGACACCATTAGAAAGGATGGAATAATGAAGGCAAGTGGACCTGAACTGCTAACGTCCAACAAGTGTGAAACTGAGAAGCCAGATGTCTTTCAGGGGAACTGTTGCAAGAATCGTTAACCTTAACATTTGGGACACAATTCCCATCTGCTTTAATTACTTTTATATTGACAGAGCTCTTACAGCGGAGTTGGTTAGCTCAATTGACTTGGCAACTGGTTTGCGAGCAAAGCGATGCCAACAGTTAGCTTCAATTCCCACAATGAGGTTACCACAAAGGACTTTCCTTCTCAACCTCTCCCCTCACCCGAGGTGTGGTGACCCTCAGGTCAAATCTAATAAGAGCAGCCCTATGGTCTAGTAAGATTATGGTGACTTTACCTTTTACAGTGGAGATTTAATTTTATTTCTAATGTTGTCCCTGTTATTATGAAAATTACTTTTACATAATTAAGTACTTTGAGTGAAACCTTTTGACACGAATGAGCCACGTGACTCAGGTAGCATTCTAAACAAATACTGTAAACTTCTACCATAAACTCAACTGAGCAAACAACCCATTTTAATTCCTATTTTAAAAGAAAGTATGGCTTGCATTCCAGATTTATTAATCACATGCATGATCTGGAAGCGAGTTTCTTCTTATTCTGGGTCAAGCTCCTCATGTCTATGATATATACTTATGCTCCTGGTCCAAGTATTGCTGTTCACTGACAGTCACATGCTATAACCCACCAGATAGCCACAGACACACCCTTAGCAGATTGTAAAGGGAGAAATTCAGAGTTACTGGGCACAATTCACAAACTCACGTTACTCCCTCTCTAAACACCAAGCCGTGTTTTTTTGCAACCTCCAGGTCTACCCTTCCTCTGGCTGCTGATTTTTTTAAGACCAAAACAGTTCCTGTTTGGGGCATAGCAACCTCACGGCTTTCTCGCTTCTAGAAGCCTCAGGCTGGGTCAAAAGTTCAAGCAATGTCTGTAAGCATAGATAAGCATAAAACAAACATCTTGAATTCAGCTTAAAATGAAACTAAAACTACATTAACTTTTAACGTAATCCATAAGAGAGACAGTTGTAATAACATCCCTCAACCACATCACAACTTGTAGCCTCTCCAACACCACCCCCACCACATGCTCCCAAAAAAGCAGCCTTCAGTTACCAACTCTCTGAACACTTCATTTTCTCAAGGTGGATGAAGATTGTGTGGGAAGGCAAAAATTCTTACAGCACCCTCACGAAACATTTATATTACACTTCTCAATCTCAGGGCACCAAGTGCTTTATAGCCATTTAAATATTTGAAGTGCATTTACTGTTGCAATGCAAAAAACAAGGCTGCCAACTCCCACAAGCAGCAACATGATCACCAGATTTACTTACCATGTTGAATTATCGCTAAACGTTGGCCCAGGAGATTAAACAGTGCAGTACTTCTTCAGCATTGCAGTTGTCAGCCTCGATTGTATGCTGGAATAGGACTCAGGCCCACAACCTGAGTCATGCGGGTGCACGTAACTAAACCACATTCAAGCTTGATTTACCAGTTCTCTTTTCTCTGGTCGCCCATACATCACACCTCCAATGCACGCTGTCCTGATACACAGTTTTAAATGTGAACCTTGTCACCAGATCAACTAAGACTAAGCACAGCGTGTGGGACACCATCCCCTACACACAAAAGGAAGGAGTCAGAGACAGATTTTCCAAGACATTGCAAAGCCAACCACAACAACCACCTGTGGCAAGTCTGCTTAAAAAGACAATTGTGCAGCCAAGAGCTGATACAATATTAACATTTTAAACTGCATCAACTGAGGATTACCTAGTTAATTGTTTTTTTTTGTTTTTTATCACAATTGTTTGTTGAGGTACAGCTCCATCATTATTACTCTGATGTGTCATCAGAATTTGAGGGGTATCTTAATAGGTGCTATCATAAGCAATGCTGGCCCTGTCTTCAACCAGCAAAAACAGGCGATTGGGGAAATCTCAGATTATTTTCCTTGCCATTAGCCAAGCATATGGTAGACAATTGCAGTGTCTCATATTGCCTTCCTGGTTGAGATTAACTCAGTCAAAAAAAAAGTGGGTATGGGGGCTGAAACCTACCTGGGCTGCACATTCAATGACAAGACAGTTTTTTAAAACATGATTTTGACTTGCAACCAACTCAACCCCTTTATTCATCAATAGGTAATCTGAAGCCAGAAGTTAATTGCGCCTTCAAGGATTTGCACTTTGATTGTGCCTTACAGAGCATCAATATGGTCCAAAGCACTTTCTATCTAATAGTGGTGTGTTGTATACATTGGAATTGCAGTTGTGTTCACAGAGCAAGGTTCTACAATAAGAGTATAATAGTACAGAAGTTCTGTCAGTGGTATGGAGTGATAGATATTAGCCAGGACACCAACAGGATCTCTCCTTCAAAATAGCACCGATGGATATTTTGCATTCACCCAAAGGCAGATGGAGTATTGGTTTAATTGCTTAGCTGAAAAGAAAGAACCATTGACAGTTCAGCATTCCATCAGAACTGCACAAGAGCAGGCAGCTTAGCTCCAAGTCTTTAGAGGTGGACTTTACTCCACAGTCTACAGCTTTGAAAGGCTGGTGCACTACCATCTGAGCCACAATGGACTCCTGTATCATTTTGTATGAGTTACTGCAGTGTAGAAATTGAGTTCAACAACAAATCCTTAAGTTCATTGATATTGATCGTACTGCAGAGATGATATTATTTTTTAAAACCCTTTTATTACACACAGCTACACAATACTTTTGGATAGCCAATGTTTGGTGCAAGGGATTAGTTCCATTGCAACTGGTTTAATAAGCTGCGAATTGGAACCTGGGCTTACAGCAAATCAAATGAGATATCACAATTTACCATTATTCATCCAAATGTTGGGTGAACAGTTAGCTAAAAAGCAAGCAAGCACAGACATTGTTGGTAACATATTTCAACTTTATTCACTAGCTCTGGAAAGCTTTGTACCACATCACTGATAATCCACAACACAACAAGCAACACATTTCTTAATAGTTACTTAGAATAAAACATTTTATTTCCACTTTTCTAAGCTTCAATTCAAATGTTCCAATACCAAGAACTGGGAGATAGGGGCGGTGGTGGGGAAAATACTGGATCTCTCCAAAACCCTTGTATCGAATTCATGAACTTTTATAGAGTGGCCTGTTACAAATAAATAGAAGTGACTTCAATTCTTTGCAGGGGATGAAAACCTGACAGGTTTATGTAGCAGTGCAAACTGCTAGATGCAGATTTCTGTTGAATTCTTCCAAACAGGATAAAAGTTTCCCAAATTACTTTGTTGGTAAATGCAGCACTTCAAGGTGTCATACAAACCAGGAAGTGTCAAGTTCAACTTCTGAGTTATCTATTAGCCAGTCTCTGGAGGGATGTTACAAAATGGGTCAACCTCCCAAGCTTAAGACAGAAAAGTCAACCCTGACTCCCACTTCCAATAACTCCTACTAGAAGTACACATGTATGGACAAGAACAGATAGAATTGGGCCAAACAGGATGCTTTTGATGATCAATATCATCTCCTGGCACTCCGTGACAAAGGTCAAATGGCCACTTAAGCCATTGGTGGGAGGCCAACTGGTACACACCTGCGAGGAACCAAAATGTTGAGAAAGTGGAGAAAGCATACAAAGAAAACTAACACTAATTTAGTGTTTCGGGTTTGCTTAACTCATACTGAGATGATCAATAATGTTCAAAATTTCAATGTTTATAATACAACTTTTCAAAGGCAGTTTCTTTCCTCATTTTACCTAGTTCTGTGCAGCAACCACAGGTTTATTCCTTGTTCATGGAATCATTACCAAAATGCTAGCAGGTTAAGCTGAGGCAGGAAGTGGCACTGGAAGATCGGTAACAGGAAAGATTGTAAAGCTAAACAACTACAAAAATATAATCTACGGAATATGGTCTTAGTTATATTGTGGTAAATTGTTACTAAATATTCAAGGTTTTGGTTTTCTACCCCTCTTCTTTCCAAGTATCTAGATGAATGAACAAATATTTGAAAGAAAAAAAGTGCACATCTGTTACGGTATCCACTGATAACGCCAGTTATATATTTTGTCAATTATTTCTGGTGATTTTCTCCCAAACTCCCCTGGTACCTTAATAGGTAAATATCAAAAGTGTGGTACAGAGTTCTTAAAAAGTTCCCAGATTTAATGTTCATTCCCTTGCAACCTGTGTTAACCCATCTAGAATGGGCCAGCAGTAGGAGAACTACAATTAACCAATGCTGCTGGGCTAGGGAATGAGTAACTCTTGCAGGAAGGCCACAGGTGGATGCAGTAAGAGCACAAGATTCCTAGGTTGAATGCTCTTCGCCAATCACCTTGGCTCACATATCCAGTACCAGAGGCTGCCAGCACTTTGGGAATCATACGCTATTAGCTTCCGAATAATACAAAGCAACTGGATTTATTAAAAGCATTGTTCGCCTGCATCAAAACCTAACCCTTTAAGCTAAGCCTTTGCACTGGCAAAAGCCTGTTGTACCTTTTCCCAGGTCAGGGAAATTGATCCTCCAGAATTCCTGTCTTTCCTTGGAGAATTAAAGCCATCTTCTAATGGCCCAAGGGTCAGAGTCAGCAGCCTTTAATCTAATGCCACATTATTGCAGCAATAAGTTTCACCCATTTTAAGACTGGATTGGTCCCAAGTTTAAAGTATGCTTATTGAAAGCATTAGTAACTCTATCAACACAAGCTTCAGTACGGATGACCTAATAAAGAGTTTAAATAAAAGTAGCAGGTTGAGGCAAGTACTCTATTGTTATGCATGTAGATGGGATAATACATGCACTCTGAACGGTCACAGAACCTGAAGCAATGACAGTGCTTCAGAAACCAGGAAACAACCATGCAAAACTAATCTGGCAGGCTGGAATGACAAGAAAGCCCAAATAACCATTCACAGGCCCTCTACAAGGAGCTCCTTGCTGCTGATTTACAATCAATAAGTGATTCAAAACAAACAGAATTCATTGCTCACGTCAGGCCTATATGCAACACTTGCATCACCTCTTGGCATTTAGCCAGAGACCACTTAAATGTTTTTAAAAGGGTGATCTATATTAAGTATTGAAGACATTCAAACAGAACTCCAGTCAAAAAACAAGACTGCAAATCAGATAGATGCACTGCGAAATTTACACTGATTGCCAGCTGCCACTTTATCGTCACATCTAAGTAGTTTGTTAACTCTACATTCTGTGTATATCATTCCAGATTACTTTCCTAAACGTACACCCAAAATATATACAATATTGTAAAAAAAGTTAAAATGGCAATGACAAGAACTAAAAGCGTGGAAAGTCCCAAACCATACAGTATTGGCAGCTTTCATGAATAAATTTCAATCCTTAATTGGGTCATAAAAATAAATTGTCTAGTAATTAAAAAATTGGGGAAGTTGATTTTGGCATTTCTCTAGAATGGGCAATTACTTATAAAGTATATAAAATATGGCTTTTAACCCTTAGCCAATACATTAACTAGCAACCTCATTACAAGCACTGAATTTAGTTGTCTGCAGACATCTGCCTCTATTTCATGAGAAAGTTTGAGATGGCTGTCAGCATGTGAGGACAAAAACATTACCTCATATTGTTGGAGCAGAGAATCTCTGCAGCTTCTAAAGGTTTCTCTTGCCAACATCCCCAAAGTATTGCCATTTGGCAGCAAGACCACCAATGCCACAGCCCATTTCAAACCCATCTGTAGTTAATGCATCACGTTGACTGGAATTTTTAATCTAATGTGAATCCAAAATACTGCAATTCACCCTTGAAATTATCTCCATTACCTGAATAGAGAAAGTTGGCGATAGACATCGTCATGTTTCTTATATATCCAATCAATGATTTCAGTGGTCAAGGGACCTCTTTTCCCCAACTGCACATGCCCATTTTAGTGCCACCTGGCAAGTGTGCAGTCCTATACCATATACATTTGCATTCAATGTAGTTAGACAGCTCAAGATAGAATTGCATTCATATTGCGCCTCATTTCCAAAACGTCCCAAAGAATGCCATGGAGATTGAATTACGTTGAAGCACAATGGCTGGTCTGTGGGTAAATTTTCGATAATTCATAGCGATGCTTGCTGTCCACGTACAGGGAATGCCGCACAACTCTGAAATTATACTGATGGCAACAAGATAGTGAACAAATCAAAGATGAACACAGGTTAACGGCACCATTCAAGTCTAAGTTCAAACCAGTATTGCATCATTAATTTTATATCAGTGAAAGCACAGTCAGCACTTCATGAGGAAAATGCTTTGATCATTTTCTTTCAGCACTTTTGAACAACACAAAAATGATTTTTTATTAAAGCCTTTGGAGAAATGCTCACCAGATGGGAGACATACAAGAAGCAATTATTCCCATGTTGTCAATGGGAGCAAGCACAATTTTAAACAAAAATCAGAAGTGCAGCAGTATCCCAGAAAGGATTACTTCTACTTTAACGTTCCCAATCAATAATGCATCTTACTCCCCTCATTAAGTGTCTCTCAGTTTGAATACAACAAAAAGGGGGCAGGAGTTGCTTTGAACACATTTGCTGCAGCAAACACTGGATTTTTCTCCTCCTAATGAAAGGACGAGACGATGATCAGGCCTTTCGACACAGCAAATCCCCTAGTCCAGATCAAGCACGCAACGACAGATGCAGTACACAGACAATGTTCTGAAGTCACGTAGTCTGGCAGTGAAGACCCAATGCAGTCCCAAACAGCATTTATTCCATACCTCAGTATCAAGACTTAGGAATGATATTTTTGGAAAAATATTCCCTCCATTTCTAATAAAACTAACAGTGTGAAAGGCAGCATGAGTACCAGCATGGGTGATGTTGTCTTATTGTATGACCCTTGGTCTCTTTAAGATGCGAGCCTGTATTATCTGGTAGTTATTTGGTGTGGATATCTTGTGTCGGTATGGAACAATGACTCTCCCAGTATTCTTGGTAGCATACAACAGTTATTCCTATAAACCCAATTCCAAACCCTCCAGCTCCTCCACCAGCAGTTTTCGGCGGCTCAGCTTGTCCAGCTGCTCTTTCGTCGCCTGTTTAATCTCACCAGAGTCTAGTTTTTGCTGCAGTTCATCAATTTGGCGCAGTTTCTTTTTAAGATTTTTTACCTTCTTTGCCTTCTCTACTCCATCGTGATCGCCTTGCAATGCAACAGCCTGAGAGTTCGGACTGCTGCCACCGCCGCCACCAATGGTGGTTTTCTGCAATGTTTGGCTCAGCTCATCGGCGTCGGCGGTGCCGTCACTTTCCTGCTGCTGTTTGCGCTTCTCTTTGCGCTTGAGGTTGCGTTTAGCTGACTTGGATAACCCAGCCAGCTCTCCGTCGTGCTTTGACTGTTGCTGCTTGCTTTTGGCGGTTTCGTCTGGGTTAAGGCCAGGTGGCAGGTCGGGTTTGCTTTTGAAAAACTTCACATACTTGTTTTCGTACCTGCACACAACAAATACAGATAATAACAGGCCATGCGAAGTGGGATATAATCAGAACCACGTTATCACAAACAGTTTATTTTCTCTGATTCTTCTCTTTTCCTGACTCTTGCTGGGCTACTACTCCATGTACACTAGTCACCTTTTGGTATCTCACTGAAGTAACTGCTCTGTGCCTGAACTAAGTGTGCCAACCATAAAAGGGAACTAAGAGCCAAACCTGATCCTGTCATCCTCATCTGATCTTCAAGCACATTAGTGCCATATCAATCCCAAAACCTAACCTCCACCTCTCCCCCACCCTCATCCAAATGTGCTGAAGCAGTCAGGCGTGAAAGCGACTGACCCATTGGTCTAACACTTCCATAAGATGTGCATCGCTTGCAAGTCCAATATTTATTCCCCTTCCCTAAATGCCCTTGAGAATGAGAGCACTATCAGGGCCAAATGTCTACATTCAAGACCAAAGTAAAGCATACTGCATGTTCTGGATAACATGTCCTCCTGCCTTGATGGAGAACACTTTTATCCTTCAGAGTGTTGTGACACTGATGAATATAGGATCAGGACTGGCTGTAATGCCTTGGCAGCCAAACAGCTATTAACACTGACAGAAACGACAAAGAATAGTCATTGGGACGAGAGATTGAGGCTGGGTGATACCTGATGAACTAGATCCCATTCAAATTAGAGCCTGTGAAAGAGGGTGCCTGGAGGGAAAAGGGAAGAAAAGAGAAGGAGAATAAGTAATTTTATGGATGGCAGAGGAAAGGGGCTTTATTTTCAGACAGGCACATCCAGCCTTCAGGGGGTGTAACAGCCAGTGTACAACATGTCTGCTCCTGCAAATGGAATACGATCTCAATTACTGCATATCAGCTGGGATACCAGCGCAACTAACAGAGATACCCCTCAAATTTGACTCTGGTTAGTGGGAACACAGCACTGTTTGATGTTAACAGCCAATATATTTCCTCCTATTTATGCATAAAAAGGTCAGTCTTTCACTGGGTTATAAGTGTGACCATGACTGTCAAGGAATATGGAAACAAAACTCCTTTCATAAAAGACTGCTCAAAAGTATGAGAATTATCCATTAACATCCCCCAGAAATTGCAAGTTAGTTACAAAAGAAAATGTAGCTAATTATGCACCAGCCTGGAGATGGCAAAGTGTAAATAAGCCATTTTGCTCCATCTTGTTTGAGCTACATCACAAAGCAGTGAAAATTAGTTGAACAATCATAAAGTCAATCTAACAGGTGCTCTTGCAACAGCTATTTGGCAGTTTGCTGAAAATCCCAAAATCTAGAATGCCATGGGACAGTATCTTAAAACACACTGTTGCTTTTAGGCTGGAAGAGGCAAACTGTAATAAAATCCTGCTTGCACTGTGCTATCTTAACTTCACTGATCACAAAATGGAGTATGGGAGTTGGGAGGTCATGTTGTGGCTGTACAGGACATTCGTTAGGCCACTTTTAGAATGCTGCATACAATTCTGGTCTTCTTGCTATAGGAAAAATATTGTTAAACTTGAGAGGGTGCAGAAAAGGTTTACAAGGATGCTGCCAGGACTGGAGGATTTGAGTTATAGGGAGAAGCTGAATGGATTGGGACTATTTTCCCTGGAGTGGCTATTTTCCCTTATACAGGTTTATAAAATCATGAGGGGCATGGATAGGATGAATAGCCAAGGTCTTTTTCCTCACTTTTTTTTTTGGGGGGGGGGGGGTCCAAAACCAGAGGGCATAGGTTTACGGTGACAGGGGAAAGATTTAAAAAGGACCTGAGGGGCAACATTTTCGACAGAGCGTGGTGTGTGTATGGAATGAGCTGCCAGAGAAAGTGATGGAGGCAGATACAATTACAACATTTAAAAGGCATCTGGATAGGTATATGAATAGGAAGGGTTGCTAGGGCTATGGGCCAAATGCTAGCAAGTGGGACTAGGTCAGACTGGGACGTGTGGTCAGCATGTACAAGTAGGACCGAAGGGCCTGTTTCTGTGCTGTACTAATCTCTCTCTCTCTCTCTCTCTCTCAAGACTGGTTCACAAACAGCAAAGTGTCTACACAACGAATAGCTACTGCAAATTACTGATTATGGGGCATTAATTTAATAATGATTTCTTCACACAAGTTTTGCGCCACTCTCGGATAATCTTTTGTAGTTAGCTAACAGTTTTGTCTTTGGCACATGAAAATGTAGATAAAGCAAACTGGCCCATCAACAAGTACAAATGAATTACTTGTCTATGCTAAGCACTGAGCAATCTTGCACTTCAGTGTAACACGAAGAAGCAGAGTTTTGCCGATTATCGATGAACTTGTGTAGCATGAGAAAGGGAGCATTTTACACAATCAGGCAATGTGCGCATCAGCTGAACAGTCACCATAGCAGTGACTGAAATGAATAAATCCAGACACGTGTGGGGGCTGGGATGGCATTGACAGAATATGAAATTAAACATCTCCAAATTATGCAGTTACTTTTGCGCATGCAATATTGCGAGCAGAACAAATGGGTTAGGGGTGGCAATATCAAAGACAAGAGAAGGAAATTAAAGCATATTGTTCTTGTTACTTAGGAGAACTGAGGTGAAACAGTAGATCAAGGTTGAAAAAGAATGAAGTGGATTGGTCGAGCTCCAAAAAGTGAACTGAACTTTTCATCCTAGCATGAAGTTTCACAGCACTAAAATTCAGGCTGTTTATTAGGGCTGATGAAAGGATGGATGATAGAATGACAGGAACAAATATTAAAACTAAAACGGAAGATGGAAAGTTTAAAAACAAGTTGAGCTCAAATATTAAAAGTCACAAACAAACAGTCTCAGAAATTCTAAGAGGTGATGCACTTGTAGATGACACTGTCAATGTAATGTTACATGACAAATAAGAAACCATCACATCCAAACAATATTTCAAGTGAATTCTCAAAATCAGCACAAAGTAGCAGGACAGGAACATTAGAAGTCTGTTGACTTTCCCAATAAAAGCAAGAATGTCAACAGTTATAGGTGGGATAATTTCAGCCAAAGGTCGTCCTCCACTGCCTGTACTGCACACAAAACAAAAAACTTTTCACAGCACCTAGGTGCATGTGACAATAAATCAAATCCAATCTGGTGCAATCCCCCCTCCCTTTCATGAGGATCTCTCCTACCTTCCAGCATCCAGCCTCTTCTCAACACCCCTCCCTAAACTATAAATGGCAACACAACTTGTCCTCAAAATGCTACTCACTTACCAATGACAAAACTTCCCTACTCCTCCCCACTTACTGCATTGCCTGTTCCAAACTGGCTACCAATCCATCCCGTACACTTCTTGTAGTCCTAGAAAAGTTCCCTTTAGCCCACTTCATCTTCCTATTTACATTAGATGCCCAAAAACTTTTCCTAATCACACCAACCCCTTGTCCTGATGGATGACTAAGGAATGACAGCATAATTCTCAAAACTGATTTAAATCCTCTTGTTCAGCATAACAGCCAAACCAATGGCTGAAGTGTCCAGCCATTATCATTCTGTCACCAAAGGCTTTGATCAAAGGACTTCAAAAGGCAGAGACCCATTCTAGTGGTCATTATCCATTCTATTGTACTCCTCTACTCTACCATTTTTTTCACCACCCTCATCCTACTCAACCTCCTCCATTTCCCCAACCACCTTTTACCTTCCACCACCCCTACCCTGCCCAAAACAGTTCCACTATACCCCATCTTCTAACGCAGCTCAATCTGAAAAACGTAACTATGCCTTGACACCTGCAATGCTAACAGAGACACCAGAAAATTTGATAAAAATAATGAAAAAAGCAAGGAGAAAACTGGAAACATCATGACCAATTACAAATACAAACTTTGGAAGACTATTTATAGGGGAAGAAGAAATGACTTGTGATGAATCCCTGTATTTCTTGCTAACCTTCAGGGCTTCCAACATGCTAACTGGTTTTATTAACATTCAAAATCGTTTAAGTTTTCACAACAGAGTGCGTGTGAACTCAAAGCCACCTGCTGGGACAGTTTTTAAAAAATAGCCCTTTGCACATCACAATGAAAAGCCAAATCTATTTCATCAATCTGCTACAAAATGCAGTAGGTGGGTGTGCTGCAATTTAGCAATACTTAGAACTTTACTTTCCTTGGTGCCAAATGATGATGTTTTCCTATTTAAAAGAAAACGCAAACCTTAGCATTGACATTTTGCCGAAAGCCATAATTAAAGTTACTTTGCGCACTGAGCGAACTCGGGAACCAGAAGGTGTGCAATACATGTTGGAGCAGTCTTTATCGCTCTCGTGATACCTTTCATGAGGTAGCAGATATGCCCCTGCAAATGTAATGCCTGTTGAGTAAAATAACATTCTTTCAATTTTTGCGTTGCCATTTTGCACAAAATTACACATGCCGTGAGCTGAACATAAGGTCTCCCAGTGGGCCAAGAAACATTAAGGTTTATTACAAGTTCATCCTGATTAGAACTTCATTCACAAGGGTTAAAAACAACCATTCACTGGCGAGTGGAACTTTCAAAATTGGGGACTGAGATAGTTAAGGTACCCCTTGGTAGCAGCAACCACGATATGACTGGAATTTACATCAGTTTGAAAGGGTTAAAAAGTTCTTCAAGACCAGTATTTCAAAATCTTAAATAAAGGGCAACTATGTGGACATGAAAGGTGAACTGAACTGGGATCTAGGCTAGGAAATAGATCATTGACAGACAGTTAGGGGAATTTTTCAGAATACTTGAAATAAGTACATCCCCGCTATAAAGGGAAATTCTAAGGGGAGGACCCATCATCTGCAGTTAACTAAAAACGTTAAAGAAACCATCAAACTTAAGAAAAATACATATACTTGCACAAAGATGAGTGGCAGGTTACATAATTCAGCAGAATATTAACATGGCAAAGGATGACTAAAAGATTAATTTGGAGAAAGAAAAAGAAAGAGGAAAGTAGCTAGAACTGTAAAACAAATGGCAAGATTTTCTGCCGGTATTTAAAAGGGGAAAGAGTAAAATTAGTGTTGGTCCTCGAAGCGAGAATGCAGAATTAATAGTAGATAATAATAAAATGGTTGAGATGGAAGGGGAGAGGAGCTTGGTGAAATTACAATCAACAAGGAAGCAATACCAAGCAAATTGATCAAGCTGCGGCTGATAAGGCCTTGAAACCTGATGCATTGCAGCTTTGGATCTTAAGAGGTGGCTAATGAGGAGTAGACGCACTAGTGTTAATTTTCTAAACTTAGTCTGATTCTGGAAAGCATCAAATATAGCTCTGCTATTCGAAGGGGAGCAGAAAACAGGAAAATTTAAGCCAGTTAGCTTAATGGCTGCCCTGGGAATGGTGTTAGAAGCAATTATCAAGGTCATTATAGCTGGGCACTTAAAAAAAAACCTCAACATAATCAGGAAGCGTCAGTAAGGTTTTATGAAAGGGTAATCACCAATTTATTGGAATTCTTTAAAGTACAAGATATACTGTGGATAAAGGAGGGGCTGCAGATGTACTGTAATTGGATTTCCAGAAGGCATTTGAGAAGGAGCCACAAAGAAGGTTGTTGAGCAATGGAGGAGCTCATGGTGTGGAGGACAACATATTAGAAGATTGGCTGGCAGAAAACAGTGTGCACAAATGGCACTTTCTCCAATTGGTAGGATATGAGCATAGCCCAATATGGTCTCAGCTTTACACAACTTGTGTCAATAACTCTGATTAGGGGAGCAAAGGCATGGTAACTAAATTTGCAGGTAAAGACAGGATGGAGACTATATTGTGAAGCAGACAAGTAGGTTGAGTGAGTAAGCAAAAATCTGGCGTTGAAGTACAATGTAGGAAAACGTGAAGTTATTCACTTTAGCAGGAAAAATACAGAGAGAACGTACGTAGAGAACGACTTCAGAATTCCAAGGTGTAGAGAGATCTAGTCCTAATACAAACATCATAAAGTGCACAGGTATAGCAAGTGATTAAGGCTAAGGGAATGCTAGCCTTTGTTATGAGAGGAGTTGAATGTAAAAGGGTATGCTTTGGTTACGTAGGGCACTGGTAAGACATCTTGAATGCGGTGTGTTGTTTTAAATTTCCTTATTTAAGGATGGATGTCAATGCATTGGAGGTGATTCAGAGTAGGTTCACTAGATTGATCCCTGGAAAAGCAGACTGTCTTATCAGGAAAGGCTAGACAGACTGGGCTTATTTCCATTGGAGTTTAGAAGTGCAAGAGGTGACTTGATTAAGCACATGA